TCTGAGCCCTCCCAGAGCTACTCGGCTCTGCAGGCTCCATGGGAGGACAGGCCTGTGTGGACCAGGGTCATTGTTAGTAACAGAGGCAGTCCATTCCATATTGGTCTCTGTTACCCTACCCCACAAATTTGATCTCCCGTTTCCCACATTGTGTCGGCTGAGGCTCAGTTTGAAATTCCCTTCCATGAAATGGATGTCATAAGAAACATAAGACAATAGAATTGTTTATCCTTGGGATGAATTATAAGCATATGCCATCATGGGGGCAATCACAACCTCTTAATTCTTCCATATGAAAGCCAAGAAGGATCATAATTTGGGGGGAAATCACCATCTCCTCTGGCTCCTACAGTGGCTCAAGACTTCAACTGTTAATGCTGGGTGGCATTCACCAAGTCTCAAAATACAGTGAGTTCAAGCCTAGGGGCAGGGAAAGTACAAGAAAAATGTGGAACAGCTTTTTGTACCAAGTAGGGGTATGCTCAAAGAATAATGAGAACATGTCAAAAGGAAGCAGGAGCCAGAATGAAGGGGTTCCCACTGAACAAATCCAGTATAGTCTGGTCATCGAAACCGATGGAATAAAACAAAAACCCATTCATTGAATGACGTAAAAATCCATGAGACCGTAGTAATGTAAATTAATAAATGAATACACAAATAAATGGAGGGGAGAGGAAGGTCCTTATTTATAGTAGAATGACAGTATAGATGGAATGAAAAAACTTAACATGTGTGGGTTTTGAATATAAAGGAAAAAGAAAGCGTTGAAAGCAGGAAAGACAAATGGTAAGAAGGACCTGGTCGGCATGCTGATTGAAAAACAGAGCATATGCCCTACTATGGGAAGAAAGAAACCACTGCTTCCCTATCTCCGCCTCTCTGAGAAAGTTTTCTTACTGACTGCTGAGTCATTAGTGTTCTCACGTGCTCCCCCCCCCAGTGACTAGCACCACTGCACCTCAGTTGAAACATGTAATTGGTGGATGGACCTCCACTTTGGGGAACGAAGGCAAAGTGGAATATCGTGTTATTTAATGTTATATTAATGCGGAGTTCATACTACCTAGACTGAGAAATGGAAACTGGCTTTGTGCCTTTTCTTGCTGTGTGACCTTGAAATTCCCACATTCTTTATGCTCCAGGTATCTCCTGTTTACTACAGGGATTCAAATGATGACTCTACTTCACTGGGTGGTGATTAGGATCTAATTATTCACCATGTGGGCTTGTAAACCGCTGGGCCGACACACACGTAGGGTATCACAGAATAAAGAACTTACTAAGAAAGGGCTGGGGAGGGGCAGCATGGTCCATCTGCTGGAGACAGGCCAAGGTCTAAATCATTATTTTTAAAACTTGAATAACGTACTAAACCCTTTTTTAAAAAAGTCTCAGACTGCAGGCAGTGACTTCAATGACACTAATTATAATGTTTCTTATACATGAAGAAACATAGAACCAGGTTTTGATTTCTTGTGCCTCTTATGTAATTTATAGTGAGAGCATCTTTTAAAGCAGCATGTGAATAATGGCATTTAGGAGCAGTGAGCCAGGATGTTGTGGATTGAAGGCCTGAGATAAAGAGTGAAAGTGGAAGAGCAAGCCATGGAAAAAGTGCGAACCTCATCCTTGTTTTCCTTTCTCCCGTGGAGAATATATCTAGCTGTATTAATATCAACATCACTGCTAAGGGCTGAATTGTGCCTTCCTCAAAATTCAGATGTTGAAGTCCTAACCCCCAGTACCCGAGACCGTGAACATATTTGGAAACAGGGCCTTCAAACTGGTGATTAGGTACAATGTGGCCATTAAGGTGGGCCCTATTCCAATCTGGCTGGGTTCTTTAAAGAAGAAATTAGGACGCAGAGAAGCACAGCAGGAAGACAGAAGACATAGGGACGACCATGTAAGGAAACAGGAAGAAGGCAGCCCTTTGCAAGCCAGAGACACTTCAGAGGAAACCAGACCTACCCACACCTTGATCTTGGACTTCCAGCCTCCAGAACTATGAGAAACAAATACATTGCCCCCAGTCTGTGGTCCTCTTTTATTTGCCTAAGCCAACTAATGCAGTTTACATTAAGTTCATGATTTTTGTTTTTTTTAAAAAGCTACTTTGTGCTTTGCTTCTTCAAAAAGAATACTATGTCAGGGCAGAAGATACTGTAAATATTTATGATTTGCATATGTAAATATTTATGGGATTAATTTTCTCTGGACACAGGGTGGTGGTCAGGGGACTGGCAGCAGGGGTGAGGGTGTTTAGCTCTCTATCCTGTGACGAATGTCTGATGGCTACAAGGCTTGGGCACCAGTGCAGGCCGAACAGTGCTGATTACATTGAACAGGTTCCTCTCAGGGGTGGGCCTTGCCATACTGAGGTATAGTCTTATAATCCAATACCCTATAGCCATTAAAATGAACAAACCACAGCCACATGGCATAACATGGCTAATCTCTCAAACATAATGGTTAAAAGAAAAATACAAGTCACAGAAGAAGACAAACAGTATGATTTCATTCATATAAAATTGACAAACAATAAATTGGCTCAACTCTACCAAATTGGGATGGATACATAGGTCATAAAACCAGAAAGACAAGCAAGAAAATGATTCTCCCAAAAGTGAGAACAGTGATGACCTGGAATGGGGAGGGAAGAAGTAGATGTCAGGAAGGGAACATAGGAAATAACAGGGTGCTTGTAAGATTCATTTCTCACCCACAGCGGTTTGCTTTATAATTATGCATTGAAATATGCAAATTTTTTCTTTGTATAGATCACATTAAAAAAAACAGGAGGAAAGCTGAGGCAAACATGACTAATTAACTGTTCTCAATCCTGGTGGATCTATATCATTAATTATACTTCTCTGTAAGTTGTGGGGTTTTTTTTTCCAAATTATTGTGCTGAGTGAATGAAGCCAAGCAAAAAAGAACACATACATTGTACGTGTTTCTATGAAATTTTATATTCCATTTGTATAAAGTTAGAGAAAATGCAAAGGAATCTAGAGTGGCAGAAAGCAGATCAGTGATTCCTGGCAGAGAGGGGGTGGTGGGGATGGGCAGGAGGGAGGGGCAGGAGGAAATTTGGGAGGCTGATGGATATGTTCATTATGGATATGTTGATAGTAGTGATGGATTTATGGGTATATTCTTATATCAGATTATATACACTTGGAATATGGACAGTTTATTGTATGTCAATTATACTTCAATAAAGCAGGTGTTTTTAAACCTTCCATGTGCCTTTTCATATGGTTCACATAGTCTTCAATATACATATACTGCATAAAAATGAGGGAGATATTTTTTAATTCAAGAAACCTGAGTAAAGAACTTTGATGCTGTCTCCCAGATAGTTGTGTGTGTGTTTGGGTCAGTCGGGATTCAATTATGTCAATATATTTTTGTTCTGTCTTTGATAGAAAAGAGGCCTCCACTCCCTCTCTCCCAGATCCCCTTCACCCCTCCCCTTTCCTGTCCCCTCCTCCCTCATTCCTTCTCTCCTTTTCTCTTTGGCTCTCACTCTTGCTTTCTTTCAGAAAACCCTTTTCTTCAGCTGAGCATGCAGCTTTAAAGGACATGACAACACTCATAATAATGATAAACAGTCATTTCTGTCACTGAATAGCATTTTATAGTTTATAGCATGCTTTCTCATCTCTGTCTTTTGATTCTCACAACAGCCCTAGGGTGTAGCAATAGGAAAATAAAAGGCAACTGTAACCGCTTTGCCCTTCTAAGGAGGGTGGTAAATTTCACCTCTATGAGCAAATAAATCTCTTTGCTGCCCCGTCCACTCTCAGAGACTGACAGTGAAGACAGCAGATGAAAGATCAGCCATTTCTTTTACTCTAGCTCTCTCGCTTCAGCCATCTGATAGCCCCTGAACTTGAACAGAATAATGAGTCGTTGGCTATGCAAAGATAGGTCCAGAGCTGAGTTGGGGGTTGTGGCAGACATTCTGGTTGCCTACCCCAAGTTTACTCTTGTCTTCTTACTTACAGAAGTCCCTGATTCTGCTGGAGGTGGCAGTGTGCTGGCTGAAAAATTAGATTTCCCAGCCTCCCCTCCAGAGAAAAAATGGTCATGTGACTAACTTCTGTCCAATTGAATGAAGGAATAACTTGTTGTATAGGACTTCTGGAAATGCTCCGTGAAAAGGGGACTGCCTCAGTTGGTAGGCCCCTTATTGACTCTTCCCCTATCTGAAACGTGGATGTAATGACTTGTGCTGCAGCAGCCGCTTTGCAGGCGTAAGGTAATCTTGTTTGAGGACAGTAGGCTTATGCTAAGGATAGCAAAATGGAAAGACAAGTGGAGGTTAGGACATTGATGAGACTGTAACTCTACCATACCAGCCCTAGAATGTATACTTCTAGACTTCTTTTACATGAGAGAAAAATCATAAACCTTATTTAAGGCATTGTTTTACAGGTGTCTGTTGCAACAAAACAGAGTCCTAAGTGAAAGAGAATTGATAAGTTATTCTGTGCTTTGAAGTGAGGGACAGGGAATTTCTAAGATGTACCCTACAGAAGGGTATTCTAAAAAGGAGAAACAAGCAACATGGTGATGCAAACCTCTGTTTCCTCAAGTCTTCTGTAAAGAAGAAATATGCATGTATGTAGATGCCATGTGTGCTTGTAAGGGGAGGTTAAGGAGAGGGTCATGGTTCCTCATCCATGGATGTGAGGCATCTGTGAGAGAGCAAGTTGATCCTTCAACCAGGCTAATTCCAAATAAACAGGATCTCAGAGCTAGAGGATGAGGAAGCGTTAACACTTCCCTTTTCTGCCAGAGAGACTGCTAAAGAAGCTTATCTCGCGACATGTGGCACGAGTTTTGAACTGGTACCATTTGCAGCCCGTAAGATAGGTCATGCAGTTAGCATGAAGGTTACAGAAGAAGTGACTCTGTTTTACAAATGAGAAAACTGAGGGTTTGAAATCCGCTGTTCCAATTCAAAGTTTGTCTGTTTCATATTATAGCAGTACACCTGGGATTCGAGAGGAGCAGCAAGAGAGGCAAGAGAGTGGTCACCTAAGCATCAGATGGGCCATGTGTGTCCCGGTGGCCAGTCACGACAAATGTCATAGCCAGGGTCCCTTATCACGAACGAATGGATATGCGCCTGTTTAGGTACGTACATGAAAGCCAGATACATATATTAAGGGGTTCTCATTATGGTAGGAAGAATATCCCACTTGAATTTTTAAATCTAGGCTTGAATCCCAGCCTTGCGCTTACTACCAATGTGATTTTGAGAAAAACCTTTAACCTCCCTGGGCCTCAAATTTTTCATCTGTAACAGAAAGCATTGGTCAAATTAAGTTCTAAGGCCCAATCCAAACCTTCTAGGACTCTAAGGTAAGAGTAAATCTATTAAGTGCTAAATAAGAATAAATTCAACTATACAAATATATATGTCCTAGTGATGAGAATCCATCATTATTTCACAAATCACAGTTCTTAGGAGAACAGCATGGATCTCCAGTTAGATGAGCCATGAATGCCCAGTACAGTTCCTATACTGTCCCATCCTTAATCCTTCCCTTACTGTCTTGATACAGACTATAGTCACATTTCTAGCTCCTTACACCTAGGTGCATAGGTACGTTTACATTAGGAAATCTACTTTAAACCTTGAAGATCATTTCCTTTAAATAAAAGTTAAGTAGGCATGATGGGAATTTTAAGAACATTCTGCTCTTGTCCCAGTAGTACAAGAATATATGACATGAAGCTGGTAACATCAGCAGGGCCATGGGAGGACTTTATTAGACAAATGGGGTAGTTTATTAAACACCCAGGGCCTTCTCATAGATGCAGCCCAGCGGCCCCGGAGTAATGGGGCTGGAGCCCCTTGTGAGCTGTAAGCTCTTTATCCCGGCATTTAATGAGCATAAGTAACCAGGGATGGATGGCATCATTTATGAGTCCTCATGAACCCAGGAAAAGGGTGATTTAAAATGTTTCTTTGGGATCTTTGAGGCTTTGTCTATAAAACATGCCTGAACTAGCTGGGCTCTTCCTTATCCTCAGGACCTTATCTTCAGCTGGACTGGACCCCCAGGAACAGGGTAAATGGAGAGGCTACAGCCTGGAACCTTCACCTGTGAGTACGTCATTGCATTATTTGCTGAATTATCCTTCAAATGATCATTTGCGTCCTGTTTTCTGGCAGCCTACATTATTGTAGTTGAATAGAGAACGGCTTCCTGTTTTCCTGCAACTGTAAAGTGGTTTAAACACATCACCCCGATAAACAGAGCTCCCAACTGACATCCATAGAGTGCCCCAAAGAAGGCAGGAATTCCCCAAGAGCAGTGAGCCCCTCATCCCAGGAGGTATCCAAGCAGAGTCAGGGACCAGATAGAAGATTTCATAATCAAATGGGCAATGGGGGACAAGAGGGCTAAAGGACTTCGATTTTCTTTTAAGTCCTATAAGTTGGGGATTCTGTGACATATAGGACCAAGCACGACTCAGTGTGAGTAATACTACCTGTTGTTTAAGGCTTATTACGTGCCAGGCACTGTGCTGAATACTTCTCTTGAGTTTTTTCATTTAACTGACATAAAATAAAAGTCAGCCCTGTGACCCTTTCACATGGTGCTCTATCTGAATATGTGCAAACGAGTGAACTGAGGCTCAAAGGCATCAGAGGAATAAGAGCATGGCTCCTTGGTGCCAGGCAGGGTTTCAGGCCCTGGTCTGAGGCCCCCAGAGCCTATGCTTCCTACCTCTCGGGTGCTTCATGCACACAGGGGCGGGGGATGCAGCCGCTGGCTCATACCTGGAATCGTCCCTTCTCCTCTGGCAACCTTTTCTCAAGGGTCTGCACGCAAAGCCAGAGGAGAGTCTGGGGTGATGGAACTGGGGAAAACAGGAGTTTTAGGCTGGAAGGTCAAACTGCTGTACTGAGAACATGAGAAAGGTGCACAGAGGGTAGAACACTGAAACTTTGCTTTCCTAAGAGGGGCGTTCCAGGAAATGGGGAGTCTGGCCGGCAGTGCTTCTGTCCCTTTGAGCCACAGCCTTTATTCCTCTGAGATATCTTAGCTGAATGGGATGCTTGTGGCTGGAGCTGTCCTCTGTCCCCTCTCCTCACCGTTTCAAACCCCTCCTGGCAGAGAACCATCATCTCTGATGCCTGAGCTGCTGCCCCTGGAGCCCCACAACCTGTTCATGAGTCGTGAACCCGCTTGAGTCACCTGGAGTTCTCTGGCTACTCCCAGGCCCTGAGATTAGAGTCAGCAGAAGGTAGGAGAAAAAGTTCTCTCTTGGTTTCTCTGTCTCTGTCTCTGTCTCTCTTTCAAAAGGCAGCCCCCAGCGGTGTTTGTTCTCAGAGGAACCCTGGGAAGAAGGATGGTCACTTTCCTTTCTCCCAGAGATAATTGAAGAGAAGTAAGAAAGTACCTGTGTTTGAAGACAAAATGACGACAATTAATCTCTAAGCACAGGGCCTCGCCGTTAAATTCTTTGGAGAAACAACTTTAGGAGTTTAACGACAATCAAGAGAATGAAATTGAATTAAGAGAAATAGTAATTAAATCAGGAAAGAAGTTTTTGCAAAGGGGATGGTGCAGGAAATTAAAACCAGTAATGCTGAAAAATGTAGTGGGCAGAGATTGGGGGCAGGGTCGCTTGGTGGAGAAGAGGAAAGAACAGACAGAGCAAGGTGGGTTGGGAGGTGCAGAGTGTTTGGCACTAAGCAAAGGTCTCTGGAAATTGGTCTCCTTGAGAGATCAGATGTCTGGCTCTTTGGGTCTAAATAGGCCACCTCCTAATGGCGACAAGCTCTCCCTCAGGAAAATACAAGTATCCAGTCAGAGAAAGTATAAAAAAGCTGTGGACTTGACGCAGGGTGACCAAGTGTCCAGATTTTCCCAGGACCATCCTGGTTTTAGTACTCAGAGTGCCATGTTCCAGGAAACCCTCAGCTGAGGGCTAACAGGAATGTTGGTCACCCTAACATGAAGACAGACAGCCCTGATTCCCAGCTCTGCTGTGCCATCAGGAACCCCATGACACTGGGTGAGTCACTCCATCTCTGGGGCCTCAGTTTTCTCACCTGTGAAATGAGCTGTCCTGAGTATCTCAAAAGATTTAAGAAGTTGTTATGTGTTGATGCCTAGAACAATGTGCATGAAGTAAAAGCTTGATAAATGGGAGTTGAACTGAACAATATCAGTAAAGAAAATATATAAAATATCAGCAAACCAACACCACATTAAAAAATAAGACACTGTGACTATTTCAGGGATCCCCAAGACCACCCACATGTTCAGTTCAGATTTTCTGGAATAACTCACAGGACTCAGTATAGTTGTGTTCACAGCTAAGGTTTATTACAGTGAAAAGATACACAATAGGATCATTGGAGGAAAAAGACACAGTTGAGGTCTGGAGAACTCCATGCGGACTTCCTATACTCTTGCCCTCCTGTGAGGGACACATCAAGCATGATCCTTTCTCTAGCAGGGAAGAATGCAACTGTGTGTGCAATGTTTCTGCCCAGGAAGCCCATTTAAGACTTAGTGCCCAAGGGTTTTATTGGCAGTGATTGCACAGGCATTTTCTGCCTGGAAACTACCAAAATTCCAGATTCTCAGAAGGAAAGCTGATTTATAGGAGAAATCACGTCATCAGTCAGCCTTATCAGTTAGGGAGCAGTTCAAGTGCCAAGTCTGAAGACCACCAGCCAAGCTCCAGCCTTGGAAACAGACCTTTCTAAAAATAGTATTGTCCAGCCTGCCACATTAACTCTTTTCATCACAGTGATAGAGTGGAACTCATTCTAGGAATGCAAGGATAATATACTTAAGTGAAAACTTGAATCTGGGTCCCAAGCTGCTGTGTATATCCTCAAATCCCAGCCAGTTTTACCAGATCTTCACTGGTCCAGGCTTTATGGTTATGGTATGAATCTCTGCTAAACAAGTTCTGGTTGCTACCAAATTCCCTGCCAAGAATTTACTACCAGCCAAAGTCGTCTTCTTGGGCTTGACTGAGAACACTGGGGTTTTCCCAGTCCACCATGAGATGAACAAGTCTCTGGACTAAACAGTCCAACTAGAAATTGTACTCACCTCGCTCATGAAATAGGCCACATTTTCATTTATACTGGGGTATAAGTGACCCAGAATGCTCATATTTCCAATTTGGAGCACCACTTTTCTCAAGATTAAGATACCAGAGCAATGAATCAGAGCTTGCTGATGTCTTGCTCCCCAGGAGAGGTGTTAGAAAAATAGAGAGTCATTCAGGCTAGTGGTGGGGAAGGGTTTTGGGAATTTAGAGATCAAGAGGTTCCATAGCTGCTGCAGATGCAAAGAACGAGGAAGACAGGAAAGGGGCGTGCGCTGCTGCGTGTTACCAGTTGGCTTCCCCTTTACCACGTTCTTGTATCGGTTTGCTAGGGCTGCCGTAACAAATGCCACAAATGGGGCAGCCTAAAACAACAGAAACATGTCGCCTCACAATTCTGGAGGCTACAAGTCCAAAGCCGAGGTGCTGGCAGGTTTGGTTCCTTCTGAAGGCTGTAAGGTAAAGGGCCTGCTCCAGGCCTTGCTCCTTGGCTTGTAGATGGATGTCCTCAAGTTCACATGGTGTTCTCCTTGTATGGCTATCTGTGTCCAAACTTCTCTTTTTCAGAAGGATCCAGGTCATACCAGATTAGGGACCATGTCTCAATTTAACTTGAATACCTCTGTAAAGACCCCATCTCCAAATGGGGCCACATACTGAGGTATTAGAGATTAGGACTTCAGTATATACATTTTGGACCACACAATTCAACCCATAACAACTTGGGAAAATATAAGTGAAAATCAGAATTACTTTTAAGTAACTCTTATTGGAGGATTGTGTTTCTTTGCACACTCTGTTTTATTTGTAAAGACAATAGCCCAGGAATATTTCAGCTGTATAGAACAGAAGAGAGTAATGAGAGAGTAGAAGGGGAGGAGGGTCAGGGGAAGAAGAGAAAGAAGAAAAGGAAAAGAAAAGGAGGAGGGGAAAAAGAGAGCAGTGAGCAAGGTCAGGCCACCAAGCCTGCACCTGTTTCAGAGACCGATAAGAATGACAGCTGACCACTCACCTAAATTGCTTTAATTTTGGCTTACTAAACCCACCAACAAGAGGTACAGAGGATGTGCACCCACTACTACACATGTTTCCTGGCCCCTGAAACCCCTGCATGTGTCTCATAGAGGTGTTGGCAAGTCTGGTGGCTCCAGCAGCTCTCCCACAGTGAGGCATGTGCCAGGTAGAGGAGCTCAGAACCATAGCTTCCCACCTTTTACACCATCGTGTGGATGTAGGGGGAAAGCCATGCCAGTATTAATGGCCCACCCAGTAAGGAGGTCCTTGCCAGCACAATCATGACATACTTGCACCTTTCATGTTTTTACTGCCTCCTGAAGCCAATTGAAGGTTTCAGTGCAGCAAGCTTACTACAAAAGGAAGTCTGGAAAGAGTTTGTTTTGCCCATTCAGGCAGCACGTGCTCTATGAAAAAAGGTACTGCCCTGAGCCAGAGAGAAATGAAGAGAGAAACAGATTCTGCGGGCTCTCAGGGTCTTCCACTCCACCATGAGCTGACAGTGCACACCACCCAGTCACAAACACACAGAATGCAGAATCACCCAAGGCAAGCAGGGTAAAATTCCCCAGATGCAGTGCAGAGACTGAACACAAATAGCACCATGGTAAAATCTTCGAAGAGAAAGAGGGGCAAAATTAACACACTAGCACCGATAATGGGCCTGGAATAAACTATAAGCCCAGGGACCATCGCCTTACAGCGTGACTCCTATTTTAGACAGCTGGGATGCCCAGTCTGGAGCTGACCAGACCTGCCATGGTACAGAAGCAGATTCCTTCCAGGTGATGCCCATGCGTGCTATATTTTGAGACCCACTGTTTAAATTCTACAGCCCAAACCGATTTAGACAGGATCCTAGGAGAATAAGCTTCTGTTTTCTTACCAGCATTGAGTAGAAAAGCCAAGACCATAGGGACAGGCAAGGACAGGATTTGCCATCTACATTGCCCATGACCAGAGTCAATGGGGAGAAAAACAAGTATGTTCACAGGACCAATTTAACTCTTGTATGTGTAATTCAAGTTCTTCCCATGTCTTCATTTACTTTGTGAGATATAAACTTCCAGACCTTTCCCCAAATGAAGCTGTCCAGACTGTGTATGAGTATACCTTTGATTCCTATTTAGTTAATTTGCATGTTTTATCTTAGTTTATCTTTAGCATGGGAAGGAGATCTAGTTGCCAGAGCAACCAGGAATAGTATTTAACAGGTTAGCCTTTACTTTACCCATACTTGGTCAGTCTCACTGTGCTCTTGGCTTGTTACGGAAACGACAGGCCAGCCAAGAAACAAGCACCACTCGGAGGGTTGGAGTACTCAGATGTATCACGCCGGAAGGCTCAGAGGGGCTTCTGCTCCGAAGCTCTGAGCACCTCCAAGACGTACGCATGAGGTTTTATGGGGTAAAGTACAAGCTTGGGGTATTCGGCCAGTAGGCATGGAACAGCTTTAGCAGCATCATTATCACAAAAGTGGAGGCAGGGAGGCAACCAACCAATATTCCAAAGCCAGATATC